CTGATGTAAATGTGTTTGCATCTAAGTGTTCTCCCCACAAAAAACGATACGTTCCTAAATAATATATAATTAATTCTAAGATTTTGTCATTGAAGTACAGCTATTTTAAACATTTACTCAAAAAAATATGAGGTACCTTAACAGGCATTTGTGTGAGATATCAGATTATGGCGTTTCTGATATAATCCTTTCAGAAATAATGAAAATTGCCGATATAAAAGACTTATAAGTTAAAAAAAGATACTAAGAAACCAGTAAAGAAATCATAATTCATTAAAATTTTATGTATTTTATATATTACGAAGATATATTCATGTGCAACACAATACACATGTATCTGAGGAACGTCTCATCTTACCTTAAAGAAACGAGTATTCTTGTTTTGAGTGAATTTTGTAGTTTGTTTGCAACATTTTTTTTGCGATTGCTACTATTTTTCAATCCTTTTTGTGATTTGCATGAAATTAAGATTTATTTTTTAAATGAAATTATTGTGATTGAAACAGTTTGTCAATATCATCTTTAAAGATTTGCTTCCTTTATTTCATTGAATAAATTTATTGTTGAATATATGTACATGTCATTCATTTTTTTGCTGATGTTTTAAAGATGTGTTAAGAGAAATAAAAGCTTCACGAAGCTCATGTTTAGGCGTAATCTTGACTTAATGATTTAACCACTATGCATGTATACATACGTGTCAGTCTGCTTTAAATAACCGAATTTGTTGAAACAAATATTTTTTTTCCAAAAACACTGTATTATTTAACCTATAATTGGGTCACAGTTCTATTCAATTGTTGGGTCTTTGTTTTTTCATACATAAATTGATTACGGAATGCTACGTTTTCTTGATCAATACATGGGGCTATCAGCGCGTTAACAGCTGCTTATAATTACTCTTTCTAACCACCTGCTCTTGCCTCTGGTATTTCTGGGCGTATTTATGCCCTACTCACACATTTGTATTGTTTTAAGATTTTTTGAGATTGATTACTGTTCGTTATCTTCACTTCTTACCTTCGATTTTCAAATAGAATGGGTTCATATACCATTTGTTAAAACATATATTTTACGAGGGCTGTTCAATAAATAATATTTACATTCAGTGTAATTTTCTTTGTAAAATCCATTAAAAATCCATGACGTTCAAATCTCTATAACACACGCAAAACCTTGTCACCGCGCGTTAGAATACACAGCAGGAACTATATGCATTTTCAATACTTTAAGAACACCAAAATTTACATTGTTTGACACAGTTTAATTCAAAAAAATTAACCCTGTTGAATTAACGTAAAAATACAACAGATGTGCATTTAAAATTAATTTGTCACTTTTTTTCCTCGCAATGTTCGTTTGCGTTATTTAACTTTACGACGTCACAAACGTCACAAACGGCTCTTACGTCTTTAAAGCACACCAGTTTTGAAGGGCGCTAAATTCACATCAAAGATTACCAAAATAAACAATTATGAAATTAAAGAATGTAAATATAAGTATTGAATTCATATATTGGGATGTCTTCGGTCCTATAACACACCTGGCTGTGTCGACAAATTATCATACCGCGCTAACGCGCGGTATTCAATTTGTCGGCACGGCCAGGTGTGTTATAGGACCGAAGACATCCCAAAATATGAATTCAATACTTAAATGTGCTGAGCTCTATGATATACAATATAGAAATAATATGACATTAAGCTTGACTTTCTCTCATTAATGAATGTTTAATGAATTAATTACAGTTTATTTGACAACTTTTTATCACATAGTTTCATTGTGAGAATCTGGAAAACAAGGGCTATTCGAGACACTGCATTAGAAATGAATGGTAAAGAATCATTAAACAAGAGAGAAATTAACGTTTTATGAAAGCTGCTGTAAAACTCGTGAAAAATACCAAAGAAATATTCCCTGAAATATGTGAAATTTACAGCAACTAACGTCTGTTTTATAGACACATTAGCAGGTGGATTTCAATGAACAAAAATGATACAATGGGCATCAAAAATGGGTATTGTCCTTGGCAACAAATACCTACAACAACCAATGTAATGTTTGCAAAAATTCAACAAATAATCACTGAAGATGTTTGATTGAATATAAGACACTTAGACAAATTTATAGTATAGGCATTATTTTGGGGGTAGTTTACAATATTTTAAAGAAAGATTTACAGTAAAAAAAAATAAAGCTTTGTACTCAATGGTCACCCTATTTTTTGAAAAATGAGTGAAAACAACAGCATGTAATTATTCTAAAAGAAATCAAAAATTGAAGTTATCCACGTTTGTCTGAACTTCAAACAGATAGTGAATCTTGAACCCATTGCTTTAAACCCTCAAAACAAATTTACAATAAGATGCACTTGACAAAAACAGCCAAGGTCTGAAAAAAGCAACGAATTTCAAAAGCACAAAAATAGTTTTATATGTCATTTTCTTAAATATTAGTAGTCTTGTTGTTAAAATTCTTATTCGGGGAGGCAGTTCAATATTTGGAAAAGTCTAGAAAGCAAATTTTTGCAAAAACAATCGAAAGGTTTAAGAGAGGATGGAACCAGAATCAAGAATCCACTACATTAAATATCTTCTTGACAGTGTCCAAACCCACAGGCCATGAAGAGTAAAGTAGTTTTGGGGATAAATAGAAAGTTAATGTTTTGTCAAACCAACATTATTCGCAATATATATTCATCCGTTCACTTGTTTCATTTTCCATACTTAAAAAAACATTCAAAAAGAAGAAACAAGTCAAGGAAATCATAGGATCTGCCATATTCCAGTATACGAAGGGCAATTCTCTAAAATGCGTTTTAAAAACAATCAGAAATTGGATAAAAATGTTACGGACATGTGTTATATTCAAAAGAAAATATTTAATAAAATCATTAAGGATAAATCCTTGAAAAGCGTTTTTATTGCTTCCCAAGCACCTAGGACATTATTTATTGAACACCCCTCGTATATATAATTTCCCGTCATTTCAACGCTAACCCATTCATATTCAAAAATAAATTCTCAAGGGTCCAATTATTGAACCAATTTTAAATTTACTATCCTTTGCTGTCGACTTTAAATAATAAATTACAATTGATATAGCATTCAATAGAAAATGAATCAAATGCTTTGAAAAAGACATTACTGAAAACATAATTTTAGAAAGAATATAACTCTCCGTGAATTTGAGATAAGAGAATTATATATTGTCAAAGAGTGGGGAATTTTCCTCGCTTAATACCCCTCTCACCTTTATAAAACTGTAATAAAGAGATTATATGCAACTTTGGTAATATTTTACCAATCTTCACGCTTTCAACAGACATCAGAACTTAAAAATCTAAACCAAGTTCAGAATATATAAAGATTAAAGTTTAATTCAAATTTTGGCATTGTTCCCATAGACAGATCCTGCAACTTTTATAGACGTTTAAGATTATGGTCGCTATAACGTCTTTTTCAGGAAATACATAGACATATTATTATTAAGTCAAATATTGACTAACTTTTTCATACTAATTGTTAGACCCATTGTTAAAACTAAGTTGTCCACAGACTTTTTCGTTATTTTCCTATTATGGCAAGGAGCACACAGCGGATGTGACCGGTTGGCAGCGGATATTCATTTCTACATGGAACCTGATCCCACCTCTGATGTTCTAGAGGTCCGTATTTGCTCCACTCCAATTTTGAACTTTTGAGCTCGAATAGTATTCGTTATCTCCACTTATTTCTAGTAAACGATGCAAATATAAAATTGACGTCTCAGATTCTCTGCTATTTTTTATTCAAGCTCACCTGGAAACATGGTTACGACATAAGAATTGAAATAAATATTGTAAATTGACCATGCGTCATTGTTATATCTAAATGTCCAGTTGAAGGTCACAGCAAGTGTTTTCTTCTTTTCACGTAAAAGATTTTGAAATAACGAATTCATTTTTTTATAATCTAAATCTGTTGTACATTGATTACAGTTACAGTATGTTTGTTAGAAAACAAGCATTGGCATAAAAAAAGACCCTCGTTGCTTAATTACCCTGAGTATTACCCTGAGTATTAAATAAAGGTCTAAATTTGATGCCCTTCACTGGAATATATGAGTGTAATAATATTGCAAGATCCGTAAAACATCACAACAAAGAAGTTAAGTCCCACTTAAAATTTATTTCTGAATTGAATAACTATCAATGCTTTGTAATTTTAATTTTTAAACCTTGTGTTTCTCTCGGTATGTTGGTGACCATTCGAGTAAACAACCATAGAAACAACTTTTCCTGTATGCAGCTGCACGTGACTGTCTTTCCTGTATGATGTCAAATTAAACACAAAATAACGTCTGTCAGGAAGTATTTAAATGAGAGGAAGGAAATGGGAAAAATATTCGTAATAACTCCAATCGAAATGAAATTAATCACAACTTATTTTACATTTGTACTTAAACTCGATTATAATTTTTCAAAAAAAACTTATCAGATTTATTTCATGTTATAGTTTTTGTCAGGTCTTAATTTAATTTCACCATTTGCACTGAGGACCATTGTTTGTTATTGGCTATAATCAAGACTCCAACATCGTGTAGGTCTAGTTCAAAAGCCCTTCATCGACATGGTGACGTCTCCATAATTTGGATTAAGTGAAAATAAGGAACAGTGATATAATATTGACGTGTGCTACATAATTTTGTTATATTCCCATCATATGAATATAATATATATCAACTACTTCCAGCTCTATAAACAGCCTGCAATAAATTAGAAATATAACCCATGAAACTTATACAAACATTTTAAAACATATTCTAACATTAACGTCTGTATTGACATCATTGAAAAATTTCTAGTTTGTAAAGATGACAAATAATATTCCGTCGACATAATCAACAGATAGATCTCATGGGTAATGTGACTGGTTAGAGGGGTTGTTTTCTTCTTCTAGGCACCTGGTCCTATATGTACCTCTGGATTTCCAGGGGTCGAGTTTTATTTTTAAGGGGGGTACATATTTGATTTGATTTCAGTTTTTTTCCAAATTGATCACCGTTCGTTGTCGTTAATTTTCCAAATCAAAGTTATTTGAGATTTTTCTGGGGGTTTTTTTTTCGTTAATACAAATCATCATCAGTAAACCTGTTTTATAGGGTGATACACATTTTTTTTATTTTGTCATTATTTTACACCACTTCTTTGTCTAATCGCAAAAAAGTAAGCTTTTGTGTAGTCTTATTATCTTTGTAATGTTTTGCTACAAACTGAATATACCCATGCAAATCAATTTTATATCGCTTTAGAAGCCTTTTCTATTGTATTTCTAAATAACAACTTTTAGTCTTAAACAATATTTACACAGAACTTTAATAAGTAAACGATATGTGACAATTCACTTTTAGGTCATTCATACTTTTTGAATTAACAACAATTAGCAATAAACAATAATTGTTCAAACGAAGGCCTGAATTTATGTACATAAACAAACTTATAAACAGAGAAAGAACCAAATAATCTTATTTAAAATCTAAAGCTAAAATACGGAGTTTTCTACATTTAAATCTCTTGCAGATGTACATTCTTAAATCTATGTTCACCATAACATGACTTGGAGGCAGGCCCTAGAGTAATTCTAGAAACATTCTTACTTCATTTTAACTGTTCCATTCCATATCATGAAAAAAAAATTCTAAAAATTTTCACTACAATTTGACCTTTTTGAAGTTTTTTGTACCGAAGAATAAACATCGCCAACAGATTCATTAACCTGAAAAATATTAATACAATTAATATAATCTGCCACACCGTCATTATCAACGTCTGGTTCGGATTTGGAAGAATTTTGTTGTCTTAGAACTTCATTTCCGTATACAATTATAGAATGTTGTCCCGTGTATTTCACGTCACAATACTCATCATCTTCTACGTCTGTGTCTGGTTTCAAGGAACATCTTAATGTTTCATCTGTTTGCACAATATCTGAATTAAGTCCTACATAGCTCACATCAAAAAACACTTCCTCTGAATTTTCGCTGTCCGTATGAATGTCTGTTTGTGATTCTTTTTCTTCGGTTTGGATTCTTTCCTCACTTTGTTCAGAAATTGTATCAGGGGAGAGACCCGGGCAATGAGAGGGGTTCTCTCTGTTGTTGTCACTATCAGATAAACTACTAAGCTGTACTCTGAGACTTAAATGGTGGTAAATCCCAGATGTTGTATGAGCGTATATGTCCTGAGTAAGATCATCTCTTGTCTGGTGGGTTTGAGGGACACTAGAGGACATTTCCTCGGTGTGTGACAATAATTGTTTTCCCGTAGTTTGTCTACCTGTAAAAGAGAAAAAAAAAGTCAGGACAATTTGATTTCAAATATCTAGCATTCAAACCTAGCTTTAGGCCAGTGCATATATTTTGTGAATATATTACAGTTAAGAAGAAATTAAAGCTTTTTTATTGCATTGCTTCTTTTCTTTGCAAAATGTTAAGAATAGTGAAAATTATTAAATCCAAACTGCCATTCCAAGTTAAGTAATTTCATATCATTCAAAACTAAAATTTTAAATATATTAATATTGGAGGATTATAATAATGTTAACATTTTTACAAGTGCAATGTACAATAAAACACCTTTCTACAAGAAAATTCCATGCTTTTGTTAGAAAAAAGGTTTTTTTTTCAAAAATTAACAATTTTTTTTTTTTTTTTGTAAAACTGTACTTACTTTCCTTTGCCTTTCTTAATCTTTTCTTTATCCAGAAACTTAAATTATAATAATACAATTGAATAACATATATTTCAATATGTCATATTTAAATGCATTTGATTTTAAATCTCTTTCTGAAATTATTCATTAGTCAATCACATACCTTATAGCGGAGCCCCAAATGACAAGAGCAGTTACGGATATTGCCGATGAAATTATAACTGTGAGTAAATTAGATTCGTTTGTTTTATCATTTACTGCAATCAAAAAATAAAAGTTATGGACTTATTTTAGATTCCACCTAATACAGTGGACCTTCAGATATCCGGACGCCAGATATCCGGATGCTTCAGTATCCGGACGATTTTTCATCGGAACGAAATTTTAAAATGTTATTCTGTCTTGTTTAACTGGTGATTCAGATATCCGGATGCTTCACATATCCGGACAAATTGACTGGGAACCAAAGCGTCCAGATAAATGAGGGTCCACTGTACTAGTAAGGAATATTAGAGTTCAAGTGCGATCACTAAAATCTACGAGCTTTGGTCACCAATGAACAGTGATGATTCCACAGATATTACAAACTAAACAGACACTATTTCTGTTTAAGTGTATAGCTTTGAAAATAAAAATTCAATATGTTTAATTCCAAAAAGATTAAGCGTGATATATTTGAATAACTTTTAAAATCCTTTTATTCAACAGACAATATTTTTTTTATAAAAAATAATTTTAAAAATATAATTTAAGAAAAGGTGTTATATATTTCATACATCATTACAAATATTTAAAAATTACTTCATTTCCAACCATCTAATCATTCTAATATATTTTTATAAAGATAAGATACAAAGGTTTAAAAGTACGTTTTACATTATATCATTCAAAAATCATTGTCATTTTTAAATTTGATAAACCAACAATTCTTATGTTCATTTTCCATCATATCTGTCGCTAGAGAAAATTGTAATAAGTTAAAAATAATATTTACTTTCCTGTATTTGAGGAATTTAAGAAACACATACTGTTTGTTCTTGTTGTGATATCAGAACTTGATTCCAAATTTGTTTCCACAGTTGTTTCTGTATAATATAAATGAACGCAATGACAAGCAAACAACAAAGAAAAATAAATTTTGAAGAGGCAATTGTCAAATATCGCGCAAATATCAGTTTATTCTAACAGGGTAACTAAAATGTTATATCAATATATTGAATTACAGAATAAAATCGGTTTATATAATACTTCTTGATTTCGTTTCATTTTCTTATATTCTGTATAAATGTTTAACATTAAAATTAAAATGCTGAATTTCAATAATTCATTGTCATCACATTACCTTTTAGATTCGTTCGAGCTAATAAGGGTTTTCCCGAAGACCAGGGACCAGTTATACAAAACAACTTATGACTAAGACCAAAATTTATTTCTGATAATAACTATCTGATTGACAATATCCATGTGGTTTTTGGAGACCAGGTCCTCAAACAGTGTGTTGGAATTCCCATGGGTACCATTGCGACCCGTTATTAGCAGACCTTTTTCGCATTTACATGAAGTAGAATTGGTTAAAAACTTACACATGAACAGAAGAAAACACTCACTGTGACCGTAAACTCGACATTTAGATATATCGACGGCGTATTGTCAATTAACAATTGTTATTTCCTTTCTTATATCGATACGATATATCCAAGTGATTTTAAATTGAAATATACCACAGAGCCAAAGACATCTGTTTCATATTTTGACATTTTACTTGAAAAAGACATCAATTTTAATCTTAAAACCAAGCTTTACGAGCCCAATTAGAAATAAAAATCAGGAGCAGAGCAAACATGGACTCCTAAAACATCATTGGCGGGATAAGGCGCCATTGAGGAGTGACTGTCCCCTGTGACCGGACACATCTGCTGTGTTTTCATTGTCATGATCGGGGAATAACGGAAAAATCCGTCGTCAATTCAGTGAATAAATAATGGACTAACAATTAGTATGGAAAAGTCAGTCAGTATTTGACAAAATGATATATTGTATTTGCTGACAAGGTCATCGTATCGACCATAGAACTTAAGAAACGATGACTGTTGATGTTGCTTTTTCTTCAGCTTGTTTGACAATCTTAAATCATAATTTTCTAGCCAGTTATTTTACACCTTTATAAAAAAATGAACATTAATAAGTCTCAAAAATTCTGCAAACAGGACATAAACACGGACCCTCGAAATACCCAGAGATGGGATCATGTGCCTGGGAGTGAGTTCGTATCGCTTTAATTTTCGACTGGTCATCGTTTGCAACTTGACTTCATCGGACAAAGGGAAGAATCCATAGACAAGTCCATAAAGAATGACACACAATTTAACGGACACTTATCAAGCTTGAAAGTCCATTTAAAAACAATCAGGAGTGGTACAAACAGGAACTTCTAAAACATCACAAGTTGAATAAGGAGACATGGAGGATAAAACATCAAATTTTGACCTTTAACACCCACCAAGATTCTTTGTATTCATCAAGTGGAGTATACATTCCATACTTAAAAAAATGTATAATGTATAAAACAGAGGCTCTACAATTTATATGATGTATATGTCTGTCAAAACGAGATCCAATGATACTGTATACAGAGAAATTTTCGCCCCTTTCGCACACTTTCTGATTGGGCGAATTTAAACGGGGCAAATTCAAATTACACAGCATAATTTCTGAAACAAAACTATGACTGGGCGAATTTAAAACGGGGCAAAATTGTTCGCAAGTGCAAAAGGACGAAAATAACACTGGGCGAAAATAACCCTGTATACAGTAGGTTATATTTACTAACAAGGTCATTATATCGACCATATAATTGGTGAAATGCTGACTTTAATCGAGATTTTTAAAATCCGTATAAGATAGTCCTGTACTGGCCTGCCTCGGAATAAACACTGATCGTATTCAGAGCATGCTATTGAATATCAAATGAGTTGGGAGATAAGCAGGTGATAGGTATTATTATATAAATGAAGAAAGATGACGATAGAAAAGTTGAAGTCGTCTCATTTTTCATACAACTTGTGTTCCATAGCATGAAATCATAACTGTCTGATCGAATGTCGAAGCCAAGGTACACATAAGTGAATAAAGGTGCACTACACATGTCGGATGAATCATTATCCTTCAAGAGAGGTGATCACAATATTCCTATTTCAAACAGTTTGAAAATTAATAGATTCTATCAGAGATTCTCACCTGTTCTCGTACAATTAGCACTGGTCCTGTTACACAAACATCCACTTTCTCTATCACAATATTGAAATGATGAACAGTGACATTTATCTTGACATCTTCGTCCATAGTGGTCTGCTGGACAGGTCGAGGAACAATTTGGGCCCCAGAGCCCTGGATCACATTCTGAAAAATTAATTTTTAAATACCAGTATTTAAAAGAGAGGACTCCGAGAGTCTGCAGATGCAATTCCCACATTCCACTAAAGGTATAATATATCTTTTTTTTACGAAAACATGCAATATGAATTAAATAAACAGAGAAGTTACGCTCTGCTCATTGTATCTTCGTAAAATACGTACCAACACATATATTCCCAATGGCTTTATAGTCACTGCAGCATATACGAGCATTTCTAGAAAATATACGCCCCTTTAGTTATTAAATTCAGAAAGAGAATGTATAGTTTATCACCTTTAAAGGGGAAAATGTATAATTTATTACTTACCCTTTAAAGCAAATATTGTCTCCAGTTAAATTCTGACAAGAAACTGTTGAACTTTTCAAACAGCACAAATAAATACATATCCATATCTTCATGATTTTTTAATGAAAAATTTAAACAACAAATAAAATCAAAGGGTTAAACACGTAATCAAGACTTAATGAGGCAAACATTCTATAATCGAAAAAATCGCTTTTAAAACAATGTGCAACTAGTTATTAATTTTCCCAAAACTTAAATGGAGTCTCATATCTGATCTTACTCAACTCTGTACTCCACTCTCTTCAATATCTGACTATAATAAAACATGTACTTTGTGTCAAAACCCGGAAATTTTATATAATTTTTTTCACGAACACTTTTAAATATAAACACAGATTATTCGGCGTATTTTAATTCAATTCAATAATATATTCAGATTCTGGATCATGAAAATAACATTCAAGTCATTTCTAATCTACGATGACATTTATGAGTAATAAAAGTTAAAATTTACACAGAACTTTTATATAGTAAACGATACTTCTCTTATGTGACAATTCACTTTAAGGACATTCTTAAATTTTGAATAAACAACAATTACGGTACCGATGAATGTTAAAACGAATAAAATATAAAGCTAAAACGCAGAGTTCTCTGCATTTAATTTTCGTGTTGATGTACCTTCTTAACTCTATGTTGACCATAATATGACTTGAAGGTAGGTGTCAGAGTAATTCTATTATTCACAATAGTTCAGTTATCTTCCTTCATGAATTTTAATTCTCATGAAATTAAATAGAACAAATTATTACATGTACCTTAACAATTTCTTTCATTTTTCATACAATTGAAGAAAGATTCTTTTCTCTTATCTTAAGAAAAATTTTTACTACATTTCAAATGTTTCATTCCATATCATGAAAAAATTCAATAATAAAAAAAAAGCCTTTTTTTCTAAAAATGCTCACTAAACCTTTGTCTTTTTCGAAGTTTTTTGTACTGATGAATAAACATCGCCAACAGATTCATTAAAATGATAAATATTAATACAATTAACATAATCTGTAAAATTAAAATATAAAAATGTTTCATCTGTTTGCACAATACCTGAATTAAGTCCTACATAGCTCACATCAAAATACACTTCCTCTGAATTTTCGCTGTCCGTATGAATGTCTGTTTGTGATTCTTTTTCTTCTGTTCGGATTCTTTCCTCACTTTGTTCAGAAATTGTATCAGGGGAGAGCCCCGGGCAGTGAGAGGGGTTCTCTATGTTTTTATCACTATCAGATAAACTGCTTAGCTGTACCCTGAGACTTAAATGGTTGTAAATCCCCGATGTTGTATGAGCGTATATGTCCTCAGTTTGGTGAGGTTGTAGATTAGTGCCGGAGGACGTATCCTCCACATGTAACAATTGTTGGTCTCCCAATGTATAACTTACTTTGAAAATAGAAAAAATTCATTATCAATACCTCAATCATAATAGAACAATTTCAAACCTAACTAGAATGTCTCGATTATTTATTAAATAATAGATTTGTCCGTAGATATTTCAGAATAGAAATAAATTTTAGATTTCATACTGACAATCTGTCACAATATTTTTCTGTTTCATATATCAAAATTCTTTAAAATGATGAATTAAACATATTTTAAGGAATCTAGAAATTTAAAAATCATCTACACGTGCGACATACGACAGAAGATATGTTTGTACAGAAAGACTTATTCTATGCTAAATCAAAGGAATTTTAAATGAATGATGAAATTAAAACAAATCTGTGTATTAAATGTTACCTTCCTTTGCCTCTCTCAATCTTTTTTTCATCCAAAAACTTTTTTAAAAATAAATAAAAACTAAAAAGTTTAAATATTTAAAAGAATAAGTAGAAATGAAGTGCAATCAGTGGATCTATTTCTGAAATTATTCATCAATAAAGAACTTACCTTAGGCAGGAGACCGCAGCTGCAAGCAGTAGAACGACTGATATTGACGATGGTAAAGTAACTGTGAGTAAATTTGGTGGGTTTGTGTTAAGATAAGCTACAATTAAACGTTTTTGAGATTTGGAGTCATGCACTTTTTAACACTTTTTCTATATATTACCTTGAACACCTACATAAAAATATGCATAATGCAATAGAAAAGTCGTCAAAGCACGAAATAATTGAAGTTAATTTCAATACTATCTTATTATAAAACATATGAATTTTGCTTATCCTTGAAATTGCAAACATCGACACATCTATGGGTTCAACTTTTTTTGTTATATTTTTGCTATTTTTCTTTTCTTTACCTTTCTTTATCAATTCTGATTTATTCATAGATCTAAAATTAAAATGCTTGTTTAAAAAGGGATAAATCATGCAGAGTATTTAGTATCTTTTTTAGAATATATACTGGTTGATATGTTCAATCTTCTTGTTGTTCCTAAGCTTGTTTCGACAGTCTCTGGTTCTGTGAAATGTAACGAGAGACATCATTAAGGCCATTCTCCAGAGAACAACTACATAAGTTTACAACAGAGTTGTGAAAATTAAATTGGATTTATTCTGATGTGGTAGCTGAAATGTTAGTGGTTATTCCAATATGAAAATACAGATTATGATTCATGAGTGATGACAATTTCTCTTGTCAGAAAGATCAGTAATTAAAACACAGATAAATACAGGATAATAAAATAATAGGAATATTTTAAGAGAGAGAGAGAGAGAGAGAGAGAGAGAGAGAGAGAGAGAGAGAGACTTAATTAAACGTAAGTAAATAGTGAGAGACTTTCATGATATTGTTTATTATGATGTTATTTATCATTAGTGTTTTTTTTAATCTACTGCCAATGTCTTTCAAATCACTAATATAATAAGGGTGTTTCAGAAAACATGCAACCATTTACTTTCCTCACCATATTGATATGCAAACAGGAACATATGAAAGTGTTATGTAAAATTATGCTAGAAGGGCTAAAGTTTTTATCAATATCAAAATTTTAGAAAGTAATTACCATTTTAATTAATTATGACGTCATATATGACATCACTGAAAAAAGCGAGTTCAACATTTTTAATGTTGAATTCAATAAAAATCAATCATCAGGAATTCTGATACTGCTTAATCAGAGCATGTCACCAGTTCATTTGATTACCGTAATGCATGAAAATAAGGTTTACAGAATGCAGAGAACTTTCTAATAGCAATATAAAGTTGTATAAATCTGTTCAATTTTGTAGCTAATGGAATAGTTAAAACTTGATCAAAGAAAAGGGGAAAAAAGAATGTTAAAAGATTAGAACACATGAAAACATTTTGAATGTTACTAAAGAGGCGTTGTTCCAGAGACTCACATGAAATCCTTTTGAAAAAATATCTAAGCTAGTGAATAAATTGAGTGAGAAAATTGTAGATCACATGCTGAAATACGTTTTGAATCTTAAACCTTGGACTTGGTAGAAGAAATGTTAGCAGGACCATTCAACTCTGTCAAATCCATTAAATTGGGCTCAACACTCACCTGACTTAACACCCCTTAATTGACTTTAATCCTTTGGGATATTTAATGGTCAAAGTGTCCCCCCCCCCCAAAAAAAAAAAGAAAAAAGAAAAGAACTCGAAAATAGTTTGAAAAATGAAACCTAATTCATTTCCAAGAATTTCTTTGCAATAGTAATGAGAACTTTCTTGCATCGGATATATTTTATTCTTTCAGCAAAAATGACGCCATTTAGAGCATATCTTTTTAACTAAGTGAAGTTTAACAAGTTTCTTTTTTCTTTTGTAATTCATTATTTATTTGCCATATGAACTTCATTTTAATAAGAATAAATCTTGAAGTTGTGGCTTTAAATTGGATATGTTGGTGCATGGTATTGGTCAAAACGCCAATAAAATATAATCAATCAAAACGGTTGCATGTTTTCTGAAACACCCTGTACATTTTTATAACATGAAATAATTTAAACTTTTTTTTAAAGTTTAATTTTTTATAACATGTAAAAGTTTACATTTTTATAACATGAAATAATTTAAACTTTTTTTAAAGTTTAATTTTTTTTTTCAGTTAAACCTTGACAAACTTTTTTCTCCTTAATTGGTTGAATCAATTGAAATCGGTGACAAATATGAATTATCTTTTTTCTCAAAAAGAGAAGCAACATTTTAACGATATACATGTATTTAATATCGTAGTTTTTACAAATGACTCAAAAAGTAAACAAGGGTGTCCAAATATGCTTATATCAGGATAGAAATAAAAATGCAAAAAGTGAAGTTGTGTTTTTACAATATATTGGTTAAAAGGTCCCAAATTCATTTGAAAAAATGGTACTTTTGGTCTGCATAAAAGAAATGAAATGAATTCTCACCCGGATCTGTACAATTATCGCTAGTCGTGTTACACAGACACCCCCTTTCTGTATCACAGTATTGATAGGGTGAACAGTCACAAATTTTGAAAAACATCTTAGTCCATAGTGGTTGGGAGGACAGGTCTTCGAACAATTATAGCCCCGGTACCCAGGACCACATTCTGGAAGTTCCAAATAACATGAACTTTCATATGACTGGCATCAATATATTACAATTTCACTTTGAATGTGTGACTTTCAAGACCATTTCCTCACTTGCGAAACTTTGAATTAACAGAATTTTTTATATTTTAAGTTTGATTTCTGATGTTTCTGAATTTCTGCTTGAATTATCAAAACGCATTTTTTTTTTACTTTTTGTTTTTGATTTACACTTTTATCAAAGGAACATACCTACACACGTGTTTCCAACAGGTCTGAATTCTTTGCAGCAGAATCGGATGTTTCTAAAATATATTCCTTTCTTAGATTTTATAACACAAAATACTTTTTTTTAGATAGAAAACAGTGTGTCTTTTTTTTTTTTAGAAAAGTAATTAGTACAGATTCTCTCACCCATATGTACAGACACCATCTCCGGTTACGTTGAGACAGAGTACAATTAAACATGTTTAAAGAACACAAACAAGCAAGTGTCCAAAATTGTTTGAATATTTTGAAATGTAACAATGATTCAAACATTCTCAACAGAATCCATATGGTTACACAACTGATTTATTCTGAATTTTAAAAGGAAATGCAATTAACTATCAAAATTCTAAAAATCCGGAAAAATTAATCCGTACACTTGTGTCCCTCCGATGTGTAACATAATTGACATAAACATAAGTTTCAAAACAAGGAAACATACAAACATCAATTTTTATTCAATTAATTTCAATCACAAGAAACCTACTTTTAGAGCAGGTTGGATCATGAACCTAAAATCTATCTTATGCATTTGATTTGGAGAAATAGACTCCAATATTGTGTGACCGTGACACTGATCAACAGTCCTGAGTACCGAGTAAAGGTTTAGTTCATAATTTTAAGCTTTTCACCCACATGGTGACGTCTCCATGAATTCGATAAAAGTGGAAATAAGGAACAGTGATATAATATTTATGTGTGCTACATAATTTTGTCATATTCCCGTCATATAAATTTAATACCTATCAACTACTTCCTCGCTGCTCTAATAAACAACATGCAATAAATTAGAAATAAAATCCATGAAACTTATACACACATTTACAAGTATTATATCATAGGAATATACACAAAATTTGTAATCTTCTAAACAAAATTTAAATCATTTTCTTTCATTAACGTTTGTATTGATATTATTGAAGCATTTCTAGTTTGTAATGATGACAAATGATAATCCGTCGACCTAATCAATAGATAAAGCTCGGGGCGAATGTGACAAATCCGAAGGCTTGTTTTCCTCTTCTAGGCACCGGGTCCTACCTCTAGATTTCCAGGGGTCAAGTTTTATTTCTTTTATACAGATTTGATTTGATTTATTTTTACGGTTTTTAAAAATTGATCACCGTTCTTTGTCGTTAACTTTTTCACAATTAAAGTTTTCTGCAATTTTTCAGTAAGAAAATTATTCATAGCAAAGCTGTTTTATAGAGTAATAAACGGTTTTTTTTTAAATTTTTGTCATTATTTTACATGACTTCCTCGTCTAATAGAAAGATTTGTAAGCTTTTCTATACTATTTTATTTTATTTTTTTCGTAATCTTTTGCTACAAACTGAATATACCCATGCACATCAACTTTATATTGATTTAAGTGCCTTTAGGTGCCTTTTTGTATTTCTGAACAACTTTTAGTTTCCCGCAATATTTACGCAATCTCTAGAACTTTAATTAGAAAATGATACTTTTCTTATGTGACAATTTACTTTTAAGTCATTCGTGAATTTTAAATAAATAACAATTAACGACTAACAATGATTATTCAAAGGGAGGCCTGCATTTATGTAAACAGACATACTTACAAACGGAGAGTCAGGTTATCATAATTATCATAATCTTATTATTAAGATATAAAGCCCAAAAAAAGGAATTTTCTGCATTTAATTCTCGTGTAGATGAAGCTCTTTACTCTATGTTGATCATAACATGACCTGGAGGTAGGCGTCGGAGTAATTCTATCATTGACAATAGTCCAGTTATCTTCCTTCATGAATTTTAATTCTTATGAAATTAGATAGAACAAATTATTACATGTACCTTAACAATTTCTTTCATTTTTCACACAATTGAAGAAAGGTTCTTTTCTCTTATCTTTAGAAATATTTTTACTACAATTCAAATGTTTCATTCCATATCATGAAAAAATTCAATTAACAAAATGCCAATTTTTTTTCTAAAAATGCTCACTAAAACTTTGTCTTTTTCAAAGTTTTTTGTACTGATGAATAAACATCGCCAACAGATTCATTTATCTGATAAATATTAATACAATTAACATAATCTGCTAAACCGTCATTATCAACGTCTAGTTCGGAATTGGAAGAAATCTGTTGTCTGGGAAATCCATTTCCGTATAGAACTTTAGAATGTTGTCCGGTGTACTTCACGTCACAATACTCATCATCTTCTTCATCTGTGTCTGATTTCAAGGAACATCTCAACGTTTTATCTGTTTGCACAATACCTGAATTTTGTCCTACATAGCTCACATCAAAATAAATTTCCTCTGAATTTTCGCTGTCCGTATGAAGGTCTGTACGTGATTCTTTTTCTTCTGTTCGGATTCTTTCCTCACTTTGTTCAGATATTGTATCAGGGGAGAGACCCGGGCAGTGAGCAGGGTTCTCTCTGTTGTTGTCACTATCAGATAAACTACTAAGCTGTACTCTGAGACTTAAATGATGGTAAATCCCCGATGTTGTGTGAGCGTATATGTCCTCAGTTTGATAAGGTTGTGGATTAGTGCCAGAGGACGTATCTTCGACATGTAACAATTGTTGATCTCCCAATGTATATCTTTCTTTGAAAATAGGAAAATTTAATTATGAATACCTCAATCATAATAGAACAATTTCAGTCCTAACTAGAATGTTTCTAACGTAGATGTCTCGATTATTTAATAAATAATAGATCTATCTGTAAATATTTCAGAATAAAAATAAATTTTAGATTTCATACTGATAATCTGTCACAATATTTTTCTGCTTCATATAAAAATTCTGTAAAATGATGAATTAACATATTTTAAGGAACCTAGAAATTTTAAAATAACCTACAAGTGCGACGTACGACAGAAGACATGTTTGTACAGAAAGACCTATTTTATGCTAAATCAAAGGAACTTTGTATGAATGATAAAATTTAAACAACTCTGTATATTAAATGTTACCTTCCTTTGTCTCTCTCAATCTTTTCTTCATCCAAAAACTTTTTTTTTAGAAAAGATAATTAAAACTAAATAATTTAAATATTTTAAAAAATATGTAGTAATGAAGTGCAATCAGTGGATCTATATCTGAAATTATTCATTAGTAAAGAACATTACCTTATGCAGGTGACCCCAGCTGCAAGCAGTAGAACGACTGATATTGTCGATGATAAAGTAACTGTGAGTAAATTTGTCGGGTTTTTGTTATGATAAGCTACAATAAAACGTTTTTTGAGATTTGGATTCATGCACTTTTTAACACTTTTCTATATATTACCTTGAACACCTACATAAAGATATGCAATAGAAATGTCGTCAAAGCACGAAATAATTGTAAATTTCAATACTATCTTATTGTAAAACATATAAATTTTGCTTAGCCTTGAAAATGCAAACATCCAAACATTTATGGGTTCAACTTGTCTTTGTTATATTTTTGCTATTTTTCTTTCCTTTACCTTTCTTTATCAATTCTGATTTATTCATAGAGCTAAAATTAAAATGCTTGTTTAACAAGAGGCCCATGGGCCACATTGCTCACCTGGGAAGTTTTGACCATTCTGTTCTTTACCAGATTTCCCCCTTGTAATACATATTGTGACCCCACCCTACCCCACTGATCATAATTTAGACATTTTGAAATCTACACTACCCCAGAATGCTTCCATGTGCACATAAGTTTTAGTTAGCTTTTCTGGCTCCGTGGTTCTTGAGAAGATTTTCAAAGATTTTTCTATATATTTCTATGTAAAACTTTGATTCCCCATTGTGGCCCCGCCCTACCCCCAGGGGTCATGATTTGAACAATTTAGAATCTACACTACCCCAGGATGCTTCCACATCAGTTTCAGCTTTTCTGGCCCCGTGGTTCTTGGGAAGATTTTCAAAGATTTTTCCTATATATTTGTATGCAAAAATGTGATTCCCCACTGTGGCCCCACCCTATCCCCAGGGGTTATGATTTTAACAATTTAGAATTTACACTACCCCAGGATGCTTCCAAATAAGTTTCAGCTTTTCTGGCCCCGTGGTTCTTGAGAAGAAGATTTTCAAAAAATTTTCCTATATATTTCTATGTAAAACTTTGATTCCCCATTGTGGCCCTGTCCAACCCCCGGGGGTCATGATTTGAATAATTTAGAATCTACACTAACCCAGGATGCTTCCACATAAGTTTCAGCTTTTCTGGCCTAGTGGTTCTTGAGAAGAAGATTTTTTAATGACCCCACCCTATTTTTTTTTCCTTTCTTGATTATCTCCTCTTGTGAGGAAATTTGGCCCTTTATTTTAACAATTTAAATTTCCTTTCTCCCAAGGATACTTTGTACCAAGTTTGGTCAAAATTGGTCCAGTGGTTCTTGAGAAGAAGTCGAAAATGTGAAAAGTGTACAGACGGACAGACGGACAGACAGGCAGACAGCTATACAGTTGAGAGGTACATTGTGCATTTTACGGAAGGTGCGGGGTTATCATTTTGCTTTGTGGGGTTATTAATAGTACAGTGGTGACTTGAGAGGTTTCATTAGGAATTCAAACAAATGGTATATTGTGGGGTTAAAGGTCTATATTTGTGGGGTTAAAGATCTATATTTGTGGGGTTAAAGATCTATATTTGTGGGGTTAAAGATCTATATTTGTGGGGTTAAAAATTAATTATTTAATATCAAGTCAACTTTACAGGCAACTAATTATAAGTACTTTTAAAATTGTTACTGTTTATCTGAATAACTTAGAACGGATATAGCAATAACATTTTTCAACTACTGCATAGCAGTAACAATGCAAAAAAATGTTTTTATTTGAGGATAACTGTTGCATCAAAGTAAATTAACCCAACATATTTCACATGAAGATGATAGACAAGAATATCCAAGAAAGTGTTAAACAACCCCACTATGCTATATAGATATAACAGACAACACTAACCCCATAAATTATAAGACAAACAACCCCAGTGTGTACTCTTATAAAGATAATAGACAACACTAACCCTATTAAGCGTTTGGACAGCAACCCCACTATGTACTCTCATAAAGATAATAGACAACACTAACCCCATAAAGTGTTTGGACAGCAACCCCACTATGTACTCTCATAAAGATAATAGACAACACTAACCCCATAAAGTGTTTGGACAGCAACCCCACTATGTACTCTCATAAAGATAATAGACAACACTAACCCCATAAAGTGTTTGGACAACAACCCCACTATGTACTCTCATAAAGATAATAGACAACACTAACCCCATAAAGTGTTTGGACAGCAACCCCAATATGTACTCTCATAAAGATAATAGACAACACTAACCCCATTAAGCATTTGGACAGCAACCCCACTATGTACTCTCATAAAGATAATAGACAACACTAACCCCATAAAGTGTTTGGACAGCAACCCCACTATGTACTCTCATAAAGATAATAGACAACACTAACCCCATAAAGTGTTTGGACAGCAACCCCACTATGTACTCTCATAAAGATAATAGACAACACTAACCACATAAAGTGTTTGGACAGCAACCCAACTATGTACTCTCATAAAGATAATAGACAACACTAACCCCATTAAGCGTTTGGACAGCAACCCCACTATGTACTCTCATAAAGATAATAGGCAACACTAACCCCATAAAGTGTTTGGACAGCAACCCCACTATGTACTCTCATAAAGATAATAGACAACACTAACCCCATAAAGTGTTTGGACAGCAACCCTACTATGTACTCTCATAAAGATAATAGACAACACTAACCCCATAAAGTGTTTGGACAGCAACCCAACTATGTACTCTCATAAAGATAATAGACAACACTAACCCCATTAAGCGTTTGGACAGCAACCCCACTATGTACTCTCATAAAGATAATAGACAACACTAACCCCATAAAGTGTTTGGACAGCAACCCCACTATGTACTCTCATAAAGATAATAGACAACACTAACCCCTTAAAGTGTTTGGACAGCAACCCCACTATGTACTCTTATAAAGATAATAGACAACACTAACCCCTTAAAGTGTTTGGACAGCAACCCCACTATGTACTCTTATAAAGATAATAGACAACACTAACCCCATAAAGTGTTTGGACAGCAACCCCACTATGTACTCTCACAAAGATAACAGACAACATTAACCCCATAAAGTGTTTGGATAGCAACCCCACTATGTACTCTCATAAAGATAATAGGCAACACTAACCCCATAAAGCATTAGGACAACAACCCCACTATGTACTTTCATAAAGATAATAGACAACACTAACCCCGTAACGTGTAACAACCCCATTATTTTCTTATATAGATAAAAGATAACATTAACCCCACAAAGTGTTAGACAAGAACCACAATATGTTCTGATAGAAAATATCAGACATCTTAGTAACCTCAGAGTGTTAAACAAAGAACCCCGCTGTGTTCTCATGTAACAGATACCAGTAACCATATGAATTGAAGTGTTTGAAAACCCCAGTATGTTCTAATATAAAAAAACTCTACCAGGGACTGGTAATAAAAGAACAAGTACCCCCACTATGTTCAATCGCAACTTCTCGAGCCTTTCTGACTAGCTGACAAACGACCTCGAATGTATTAGTTAGACGCCATGGCAACAACCCCCCTTTTCATGATCTTCGAAATAAATGCATGAAGACCTTTTATCTGTGGAATATTGAGTTTAACTTTATTCAATGCTATGATATTACATAAAATATACTATAAAAGGGACTTCTTACTTCCTCTATCCTATATTTGAAAAAAACAAGAAAAGCAAAACCTTTAACATCAGGTGATGTTAATACATTCGAGGTTGTTTTTCCGAACTCTGACGGAAAGACCCTGAGTGAGATGATGCGATTGCCAGTACGTCATATCCTTTTTTTTACTATTAAAAATACCAAACAATTCTCATAATACTTTTTCCTATTTTGATAACATACTCGAAAATTTGTTTTAAATATTTTTCAAACTATTTTTAATTAGATAATCTCTTTATCTTCACTGCTTATTTCTAATGAGAATTTTTCCTTTGAATCTGCTGGTGCATGAATTTGAAGTGTACATTATGCATCAAAAGTATACATAATTTCATTGTAAATTAATAATAATAAATAAAAGAGATGATCCTGATTTTTTAAAAAAAAATTTAATCAAACTTTTCAGTTACTCGACAAGTTGAACACAGATAAGAAACATGTCAATAAATGTAGAACACAGAAAAAAAAACCCTCAAAATTTGAGACAATCTTCATAGATGTAAAAAAAAACCAAGTATATAGTGAGTTGTCAAATAACTCTAAAACTTGCATGTTATTGCTACTTATTTTAAAAAAAATATATTAATTAAAATGAAGTTTTAAGAAAAAAAGTGTAGTCTAATATCTCATCATTTTGCATTTTAAAATTGATCTTAAAACAAAAATAACGATGTACATCCTTTTGGAAAATATACTCAAACTTAGAGCTGCACCCCCACTCCCGTCCCCTAAAATAAAATGAAAAAAAAAAACCAACATGCAATTGATTTATAATTTTCAAAAAAATAAAAATCAAACAACATAAATGTACATTTCAGTTTAATAATTATTTCTCACATTTAAAATGAAATCGCTAATTAAAAAAGACGAAAACTATGACTGTTAATGTATAGAAATTTGCCATGCCGAATGCAATGTTCATAAAAGATCCTTTTGTCTTAAAGCTGAGCACTACTCATAAACATAAGTAATCAGATATTACATAGCTCAATTCAAAAAATGATTACTTCAAGTAAGACACGGTCTCACATTTAACTAATAATCAAGAAGTTAATTTAAGGTTTGCAGTAACTTGAGAATAGACATCCAAATACTTGAAACTAGTTGCCCATCAACATGATCAAGAAAATGTAATTCAAATCCACGACCCATGTAAATGTTATCTTTTTTAGATCAACTTTCAAAAATCGATTCTTCTTTTTCTGAAAAGTAAGTCAGGTCCTGAATGTCGCCGTCTGGAGAAGGCAATGGCAAAAATGAATCGGGATTGTGCTTGTTCTTCTGAAAAGTCTTTAACTCATACTTCATGTATACCTGTCCAAAAAAAATACAGTAAAATATATTTCTAAATGATAATGTTGAATTTTTTTACAGGTTATGTTTTAATTTATTGTAAAATAATATTGTTGTCTTGATTTTATGGGCACTTATAACATGTACTAACCACCGATCTGGATGTCTTTAATAGTTGCTTTCCTTAAATTTGTGAACTATATTCAGATCACAAATTGTGTGTTCAAGTCACAGGTTTGTTCTTTCAACTTTATGAATGTCCGACGCCTGCTGGTGTTGCTGCAACAATAGAGTGGCCTAGATCATCAAAGTTCCACTGATGTTCACTTTCAGTGGTATCTGAACTCTACAAAGGAATACAGAAGCAAATGTTTATTTATAACACATACAAAAATTCCGAGTAACTAATTAAAATTCATCGAAATTTATTTATAGCATAGTTGTGATGTACTGTGAACTACTTTCTTATATTGGTAAAAGGTGAAAAAGTACAGTCAAACTTGTTTTAATTTGGGAAGTCCAGAAACTAGCCAGGTGGCCTCTTATTCCAGTTTGCCCAAGAAGTAGCCAGTCGGTCAATAAATAAACAGCAATAACCACTACAGTTGATTTAATTAAACATGTCAATTTCACATAACCTTTGTATGTGTGTGTGTATATATATATATATATTAATCCATGCTTATTTAAAAAATATCACATTAAAGAATTCCAAATTTTTAAGGTTTTGTGCATGTTTCTGTTCCTACAAAACAGTTAAACTTCATACATTCATAAGTGTAAATTACAGAGTTCCCGAAACGCACCGGTCCACCGGGGATCCCCGGTAAACTTTGAATTGGACCGGTAAAATCTTAATCTTATCGGTCAAAATGTCCGATGGTTTTTTTTTACAGACTGTATAACGTTTACATATAATCTTAACAAAATAATTTAATTCAATTGTCCTGACAATAAACAAATGCAAAACTAAAGGAATGAAAAAAAAAAACGTCAGGGGCGCGCCAGATCTTGTTTAAATAAAATGTGTAAAATTGTCTACTATAAAAAGCTACATATTAAAAAAAAAATAATTTCCATAAGTCTGGGAGGAAAAACAGTTTTAAAAACACTGTCAAACAAATATTTTCCCTCTGATAAATATATGCACTCTGTAGTTCTGACAGTAAAAAAATGTGACAATCTACTTTCGTTTTGAAGGACGAATTTGCAGGGTTGCAAGAGTTGCCTGCTATTTCTGCTTGATTACAAACAATTTGTTACCATTTATTATTTTCTCTATAATTTAATCTATTAGCATGATAATATTATACCAACTTCTGGATTTTTCTAATGTATTTGATAGCATTTAAAATACATGCGCGTTTTTCCCCTTTTCTAAAAATAGCGGACTGACTTGAATGTAGTAAAACGACAACAAATTCACTTAAAATCATCATTTTCATGATAAATTTGCATATCTTTATATCATTAGTACATATTTTTAACTATGTGGAGGTTGTATAATAAATTTAAACTAGTCAGAAATATCGGACGTTTTCCAGGCTTTTTAAAACGAGTTTGATATTTTACGTAATATTTTTCCTGGCACATAAAATACCAAAATCCAAAAGAAAAAAGCAGCCTGGAAAACAACATATATTTCCCACTAATTCCAAACAATCAACCAAGAGTTGTCATGTTGCAGATTTTATTTTTAAAAAAATTTTTAAAAAATCTGTCAGAAAGGACATAATAATTTTATACGATGAATTAAGTGTTGGTCATCACACGCCGTCGGCGACGTCAAATCCTGCACACACAGGCCTTATAGAAAATATTTTAATAATTTTTTTTTAAAAAATCTGCATTTGCCATCTTTTTATTTACACATATTATTTATTATATCGACACAATTTCCAATCCTATAATATGTTAAATTTACATACAAAAAATTAATGTCAGGTAAATTTTACAACTGTCCGGTGAATTTTGAATATTTACAGGACAATTGTCCGACATATTTTTTGACTAGTTTCGGGAACTCAGAGTGTTCTTTTGTTACATTCAAATATATGATAATTGAATTACAGTATAATTCAAGAAGAAATACACGTGCCTTACTACTATCTATTTTTTTAATAAGAAAAAATACACAAGCTTTAATTAAAAGACAGTTTAATGGTGAATTAAAAGTATAAAAATTTATTTCAGTAAGTGTCAATAAAATCCATTTAAAAACTTCACTATCATATGTTCAGGTAATGATCAGCAGTGTAACCCCCCCCCCTTCAATTAATCCTCGATCAACTAGTTTGCTGAAGTTTTTAAAGTCTGGTAAATTTTTAATATTATTTTCATAAAGCTGTCAGAATTTCTATCTAACATACAGACACACACAAAAAATTATTCAATTGACCAAAGATTTGTATTTACGCAGTTTAAAATCATTCTACACAACACAGGTGTCAAGTGCAGTAGAGCGTAACTAATCCCTATCGATCGTCTCCTGATAGTGAAATTCACGAGATAATCATGCTATACAAAACATTTGTTTTGACAAAAGTTGCAATTAGAGCTTCTACACGGAATCAAAATCTAACAGGTGTGAAAATACTGATAGCCCTGTATTAGCTAAGTCACATACTCTCACTGTAAATATTCAAAGTAATGATATGAATTAATATTGTAAATTACAAAATGTAGCTTTAAGCTTGAATTTCGTTAAGTTAAGCTATGGAAAAACTATTAATTGTGATTTCTTTTAAATTTTCAATCGTCGATCTTGAAAAATAAGTACAAATTGATCTTACAGGACAATTATATTTTTTCCATTAACACAAACAGAGTTATATATACGTATCTAAAGGTAATTTGTTTAATTTCTTTAATAGGTGAATTTTATTATCGGGCACATAATTACACAAGCGAATGTGTAAAAAATGTGACATATTGGGTATTTTAACAACTGATTAAAATGTCCTGCACTCATTTATAAACATTGATTGTCATTTATCAAATTGATATACCACTAAATTTTACAACCTAATTATACAACCCCATATTGATTCCTACGAAGCCTACTTGCTGTGAAAATTTATTGCAGTGACACTGTTAATTCCATTTTTCCATTCTGATTTTCTCTCTATAGATTAAGGTATGATTACAAGTACATGTAAACAAATGTGTGAAGAGTAGATAAACAATTGGTACGTATCTAGAATGAATTCAGAGAGAGAGAGAGAGAGAGAGAGAGAGAGAGAGAGAGAGAGAGAGAGAGAGCAATTATACTACGAAAGAGGATAAAATTAAAGCCAAAAATATTCAATTTGAAAAAAATTTAAACACGGAAGATTTAAAAATTAATCGGGAGGGGCGGAAGAGGCGTGAAAAATCCAGAGGTTTTGTCTCCCGTCGGAAGAATCACATGTATTTATGTTATGAGATATCTGCATGTATTTACCATAGGTATAGAGAAAACTCGAATTAAGAAAAAAAGACGATCGTTTTTGGAAGTAAATAAGCCAAGAAATACTCCAACACGGATTAAATTATGGAGATTTATTGACAGTTGGAGCATGTTATATGGAAAATTTAAATGGTTTGGATTTTTATAGCAAAAAACGAGTGAAAATACGTACCAGGTGTGCTTTGCATGTATTGCATGTGTATAAAAAATATCTTTTTTACTGGCCAACGGGGCGACCTTCTTGCAGAAAACCACTAGCCCGACCCCCCGGGTATCGGTCGATTTTCATTGCAGACCTCTGATTAAAAAAAGAACTATCAGTGCATTCATTATCATTTTTTTTTACAAAAGCCCGTTTTCAATAGGTTTGTGTTTATGTGGACTACAGATTTCCTTTCCTTGACTTTAAATAAATTCTACAACTGCATAATGTACGTATGAAGCATGTCAAACAACTTACAAAGCTTTTTTTCAATGTGGTGCAACAAAATAGTAAGACTTACTGCATTTGCTTTTTGTGTTTCCGAATTTCCTCACTGCTAATACAAAGTGTCCAAACACAGCTACTTCCGTATTCTGCGCATGCGCAGTTAGTTTTAAATATATGCGCATGCTCAGGTATTCGGAACTCCTCGATTCAATTACCGAACTCCTCTAAACAGCAGATTTCTGAATGTCTGAGCGTTTTGGGCTAAGGACATGTCCAAAATTTGGACAAAGTCTTTGTGAGGTTAAATCTAATTTTAGGTTTTTCGACCTCATAGAGTAATTTTGAACGTAATTAGACCTCTTCATTATGGGGTTAACCCCACAGTACCCAAAAAACCCCACACTGCTGGAAAATACGTTAATTTTACCCCACAATGTACCTCTCGTAAGAACAGACAGACAGACAGACGGACGGACGGACGGACGACGGACAAAATGTGATCAGAAAAGCTCACTTGAGCCTTCGGCTCAGGTGAGCTAAAAAGGGATAAATCAATTCCGAGTATTTAGTATCTTTTTTAGGATACATACTGGATAAGATGTAAAAACTTATTGTTGTTCCTAAGCTTGTTCCGACAGTCTCTGGTTCTGTGAAATGTAAAAAATAGAGAGACATCATTAAGACCATTGTCCAGACAACTACATAAATTTACAACAGAGTTGTGAAAAATAAATTGGATTTATTCTGATGTGGTAGCTGAAATATTTGTAGTTTATGAATATGATCCTTGAGTGTTGACAATTTCTCTTGTCAGAAAGATCAGTAATTAAAACACAGATAAATACAGGATGATGAAATAATAGGAATATATTTTAAAAGAGAGAGAAAGTGAGCGACTTTCATTATATTGTTTATAATTATGTTATTTATCATTAGTAATATTTTTTAATCTACTGCCAATGTCTTTAAAATTGCTAATATCTACATTTTTATAACATAAAATAATTCAAACTCTATTTTTTAAGTATAACCTCGAAAACTTTTTTCTCCTTAATTGGTTGAATCAATTGAAATCAGCTACAAATATGAATTATCTTCTTTCTCAAATAAAGAAGCAACATTTTAACGATATACATGTATTTAAATAATCAGAATTTTCAGATTGATATACGTTTCAAGATACGCAGGTTAAAGTACCGGTATGTAGACTGTTCTAATAAATTTCGTAATATTTGGTTCACGACTTTGGTCTTCGTAGTTATTACAAATGACTCAACAAGTAAACAAGGGTATCCATATATGCTTATATCAGGACAGAAACGAAAAATGCAAAAAGTGAAGTTGTGTTTTTACATTGAATATATTGGTTAAAAAGTTCCCAAAATTCATTTGAAAAAGTGGTAAAAAGTTCATATAAAAATATCGTGAAAATATTGTGATATTTTTGTGGAAATCATGATATATAGCGATCCTTTTTTTTTGTCGAAACTCATCCCTAACCCCCAAAAACAAGTTTAGCTCTTGCATTCTAGGCAACAAATCCCTATTTTACACAAACGTACACTGGGATTGACATCCAAAGAATGCTAGATTCCCTAATTATCAACATTTGTTCAGTCTTTGAAAGCCAGGTCTGCCAACAAACTTTTTAAACATATTGACCTAATTATGTTTATTTATTTATTTAGTTGTCCAATTTTTATATTCGAGCAGTTTTATTTAAAAACGGTTACATGAGAAGAAAACACTTATATTAACTTTCAATGCCAGATTTAGGTATATTAATGCTTGTTATCAGATTTGTATTTGTAGATTTTTTGGTGGTAGAGTATTATTTCCCATATCTTAAACCTTTTGATTTTGATTTTATTTTACAATTTAATTTTCAAACTAATGTTTCGGCTTTTGCATTAAGCAAAATATACGTATTAAATAAAACATTCATGCTTGAATACAAAATTATAGTTATATAAATATGCCTTTTTTCAAGAAGTGGAGAATATTTGGATTTAAAACTTGAATAACTCTTTTGGCAAATCAGCGACCTTTTTTTTATTTGAAAAACTGACTTAAGATTTGATTTAGGAAAAGAAATCTGAGAAACTCCCGTTTACTTCGAAAATCAATTAAAGATAAGTGAGAATATGTTAAGTTTTTGAAATAGTTTCCAAAATATCAAGCTGGGAAGCAATGCATATTCAGGTAAAAGCAATATAATACATTATAAAGTAAAATAATAAATTATATAAAAAAATATATAAGGTGTATTTGGAAATCTTTACGTATAAGAGCTTTGATATTTATTAATGACCATGTAAAATAATCATCAACCTTTGGTCTGCATAAAAGAAGTAAAATTAATTCTCACCTGGATCTGTACAATTATCGCTGGTCGTGTTACACAGACACCCCCTTTCTGTATCACAGTACTGATTAGTTAAACAAACACATGCTTTATTACATTTTCGTCCATAGGAGTTGGGAGGACAGGTCAAGGAACAATTATGTCCCCGGTAACCAGGATCACATTCTGAAAGTTATATTTTACCTGAACTTCAATTGAAACCGCATCAGTTTATTACAATTTCAATTGGAATCTTTGAGATTTTCAAAAGCATTCCCGACACTTAAGAAACTTTGAATTATCAGAAATGTATATTTATAACACACAGTTTTAACGTTTATATTTGATTTCTGCACAAATATTGCCTTGAAGCATATTTTTTCGTTTCTTTGCACTTGTTTTAAAAAGGCACATACCTACACACGTGTTTCCAACAAGTTTGTAGTCCGTGCAGCAAGACCGGATGCCTCTAGAAAATATATGTCCCTTCGAGTTTTTTTTATTCACAAAAAGCTATTTGAAAGATAACATTTATTTTTTCCTCTCTTTCCATTCAAGAAAAAGAAATAAATAAGGATTTTCTCACCCTAATTTGCAGACATTATTTCCAGTTACGTTCAGACAAAATACCATTAAACTGTTTAAAGAACACAGACAAGCAAGTATCCAAAGTTCCATTGTTAAAATAAATTTGAAATGCATCGAATGATCAGAACATTCATATCTAACTCCATCTGCTTTCATTTCATGAGTTTATGGTTTAGAAAGAACTTGTCAATATAACTGATTCAGACTGAATTTTAGAAGGAAGTGTAATTAATTATTACATTTCCAGAAAACAGGAAATTTGATTCGTAAAACTTTTTCTCTCTGATATATAATTTACAATCAAGCAAAGCATTAGTTTCAAAATAAGGAAATTAACGAACATTAATCTGACTTAACATATGTAAAATATAAAACGCAAGAATATATTCTGTTATTTTCAATCCCAAGTAATCTGATTTAAAAGCAGATCCAAACATTCAAAACATTAGTCTATCCCCTTCTTGAAAATTCTATAGCTAAAATTTTTACTGTAGTTGACTTAAGTTAACTAAAGCATGAACGTTTTACAATAGTTATTCAAAGTTATTACAATAGTAAATTAAAGTACATGTATTCTTTCTTTTTTAAAAAATCAATATAATATACAGTTTCTGATTAGATTGTTTATATTAAATAGATTTTACTGGTATATTTAGTTAGCAAAAAAAATATCCAGTATTCCCAGTAAAGCAAAGTATAAAATATTTTGCTTCAGTTAAAAATAATAAAATTAATATTCGTCAGGAGAGATTTAAAAGGCAAAGAACAGCCACGTCTCTACATTTTCTGATGAAGTAAAAGTGAGGTTAAGAAGCCGTGTATATGTAGGTAGGAAAAATACTAATTTACTCCGATTTATGTCGTCAATTTTGCATACCGCGTAATTCTACATGTTTTACATAATGTGTAGATTCATAAGTACGCGGAGGTGAGAACTTGTAACTTCTTCAACTCAAATTTTAGAATATATGTTTTGTTTTGTTTTTTCAGGCGGCGTTTTGTATGAAGTTGTATCTTTGTTCAATTAAGTCATAGAACTATTTGATACAAATGGATTGTAAAGTGACTTGTTGAAATGACGTTTAACACGTACCGGTTCACATGTAGTTTGTTAAACAGAACACGATGATAGTTACAAGTACTTGTAAAACGTTTCTAGATTTACACACACAAGTAGACGTTCACGGTCAAATGCTTCACCTCTCTAATATTAAAGATTAAAAATATGTTTTATATTTTGTTATATACTTGTATGATTTCATGGCCTCTAAATGAAACATTTCATAAATAAGATGTGATTGAGGTGAAATCATACAAGTCACTTTGGCTCCGCATAGGATTGTTATAAAATGTTCTCTTTCCTTTCCATGTCCCGTAAGAACAAATAACTTTAAAATAACAGTTTTATTTGATTTATGGAGTTTGTTTATATTAGAATTCTCTTCCTTTGGTCGATAATTCATAGCAATGTCAGTTGTGAAGAAATACCTCGATGATATGCTGATATATAAGCGCAAAAAGATAATTTAAAATTCAGCGAAGAAAGCGACTTAAATCAGGGAAATAAATTTAATTTTACGTTAACCATTAATTTTTTTTCTGGATAAGACTAAGAAAAAGTTAAGAAATGTACCTGTACATATATTTGCTTGTTGATTTATAGTACATGTAGATTTTATTGTATAAAGTCATTCCTAGGTTCTAATAGGTGAGGGCTGTTGACGGGGAAATGGGGGGAGGGGGGCAGAATTATTGGAATGAAGAAGAAAGGAATTAATCTGTTTAAATAGTTAAATGTTTCTAATCAAAACAAAATACTCGTTTTTCGCAGAATAGTTTTATATTCAGATGTTTGTAAGTGCCTGCTTACCTTTTTTTTAGTGCAGAAAGGTCAATATTTATGACATATTTCTCGTTTATTTTATCATAAAGGTATACTTTTTTCTTTATTAGAATAAAGAGATGTATCATTTCTTTCAAAATATATGAATTACAACATTTTCACACAAAGACTTTTTGTGATATTACCTGTTATGCATGCCGGAATTGTAAAAAAATACGACAAGAAAAACGGGATGATGCTTACATTGTGCTCCATTATAATTTTTCATGCGAGATAAATTACTGTGAAATTGCCTTCATTTTAAAGATACAAGTCATATGTATTAAATACCTGTTGAGTTTGAATGTGATTTGACATTTTTGGTTCTTTTTAGCGCATATTTGGGGTAGAACAATAATGTCTGAAAATAATCTATTTTTAGCATTTCACACTGTTTTTGCACATACTCCTGTGTAAAAATAAGCATATAAATGTATTTTTTTTTAAACCTAAAAATTAAGAGCAAGTGGTCAGGAAAGAAATGTCAAAGTTTTGAAAATTTCACACAAAGACTTTTCGGACATAGGTCCCCTCTTAAGGACGCTCTAAACACTGCACTACCTAAAGAGTCTTCCGGTAGCTTCGGTATTTTTTGGAACTTGGAGTGATCCGCCCTTCGTATTTATTCGGGAAAAAAAATTCCGTTAATATTCTAAAAATATAAAATGAATTACTCCCCTTTCCGCTCTTTAGGATAAAAAGGTAGGAAAAGAGTGACGAAGATGACAGACAGCATGTCCACTAATTTGACATGTTTGAGAAAACGGTATAAAAGCGGAAGATTTCGCCCCAAAATAAAGTCTGTTCCAATTCCTACATCTGAAGCAATTGAAAGAAAAACAGAGGTCTCCAGGTAACTGCACGATAGTCATTCTAATTCTAAAACGGCTTTCGGAAACTTGAAAAAAAAACATCATGTCCTTAGAAGTAATAGTATATTTTGTTTTTATTATATTTATCGAAATTTTGTTAAGGATGGATCATGATTATTCAAGACCCCCAAATCATGGTAAAAATATTATGAGTACCAGCATTGACGAGGGTTGGTCGGAATATGATGAAGAGGACGAGGATGAATTAGATACATCCGATGAAGATTACAGAGGCGACGATAGAAACGACGATCCGCCCGACGAAACTAATGAGGAAGACACTTTGCACCCAGATGTTTCAAAGAATCTACTTGACTGGCATGAGGTATTTCTAAATGTAAACCTTATATGAGGCATGAGTCCTTTAGACAATGACTGTGTTACTACTCTTTTGCAGGGCAAATTAATCAAGTTAATAACGTATGGAAAAGTTTTTGTTGATAGATATTAAATTATGTATATTTAACAATTGCCTCTACGTCATATTTCACCAAAAAATTTTCCTGCAAAATAATAGTACATTACAGTTATTTTGAAAGGGTCTCTGTTATCGCAGAACTTGTAAGCAAAGACCACACAACAAATTAAAAGTTTAAAGTTTACTTGTGGCAATTTTTTGGCCGCGATGGAAATAAGTACATTAAATTATAATGAAACAACATACAACTGCAAGGGGATGCCAGTTAGCAAGAGCAAGCCCCAAGCACACAACATATTTACATTTTATGAGATATTAATGACAAGTTATATCAACATTCAACGTTAGATCAACATTTCAACATTATCAACAACTTCATTGTATTATCAACGTCAACATCAAATTGTCAATATTTCAATGACTTTCAGTTTGTCTTTCATCAACATCAAATTCAACAATTGTATTTACCAATGACAACATATTTACAATCAATTATGAAGGGATGCCAACAGCACCGGGTTGATTCGCATGTGTGTCAGCATCCCCCACAATATGGAATGGTACATTTCAGTAAGTTTTTATATCTGTCATTGAACTTGAGTGGTTCTTCCGCAGCACCCATTCAGAAAAGTAAATCAACTCCCGAGCTTTCCACCGCGACAATAGAGGTAGTTATGTTGTTGACCAAAGGGGAATTCACCAATGCTACAAAATATAGAATACCTGGCAGTAATACATTTCAAAAATAAAAACAGATTTAATCATATGCAGAATGGGTAGGGAGGGTGGGATTTCTTGTTGTTTTGCAACGTCTCAGCCTCGCTTCATCTTATTTTATAGGTGAGTAAAACAAGTGAAATGTTTGACAATATTATAAAACAACTTCAAAAATAATACTTTTCTTTTTTCAAGGCTTTCTGCAAGCTACACGTTTTACATAGAATGTGCACAAAACATGTAGAATGCAAAAATGAACTTTAGTTTTCATCAATTCCCTTTTCTGTTTTCATTGTCTTACAATGGTATTTTACGTATTGATATTTTTTTTATATCGATTTTACTTTCAAACAAATACATGTATCATACAAAGGGTCGTCGAGTGGTTGAACTTGGTGTGCTAGCAGCCCAGCTACAGAAAGGATGCAAGAAATGTGGGACTGTATTACATCTGTGTGATTGTTTTCAAGAGAGGCATTATGGCCTTGGAAGTATTTTGTACATAAAGGTAAATGTCAAATTCATCATCATCAATATACACACTTATAATAAATGAACTTAAGTTTGTAAGTAATCGCCTTGATTCATATGAAATATTTCATTAATTTTGTAGTGTACTATAATATGCAGTTTTATTTCAAACATCCCCACTGGAAAGCGGCATGAAAAAAACATTTGGGATGTGAACACTAAGCTTGGTGCAGGTAATTTCAGAAAACTTTGCACTATGATTTAATAATGCAGCATATTTGACAGTGAATAATATTTTATTTTCAATTCATTCTGTGCCTTGTAGGTATTACCAGCAGTGGAATAGGTTTCTCTAATTTACAAATGTTATTTGCTTCATTGAATATCCCTGGTGTAGCGGCTGGAACAGTCAAGAAAAGAGACAGAGAAGCAGGAAAGGCTATTGAATCTGTTGCCAAAAAAAGTTGCAATGAGGCTCTTGATGAAGAAATAAAACTGAATGATGGGTAAATTTTATAGAATTACATTTTATGAAAAAAATATACCAAACGTCATGATCTCAACACCCTTTTGTCTTTCTTATTTCTCCAATGACTGTAGTTTTTTATTATATATTTTTAGGAAAGTTGAAATAAGAGTTGCGGCTGATGCTGGATGGCAAACAAGATCTAGTGGAAAGAAATATAACAGCTATTCAGGTATGCATTCAAGAAGAAACTTTGAAAAAAAATATTTCTTTTTGAAAATAAAACTTATTTATGAGGTGATTATGAATATATCTCTATTTTTTTAACCACAGGTCACAGTTCACTAATAGGTGATAAATCTGGGAAAATAGTGCGGTATGATTATAGATGCAGAAAATGCAGACTTCGTGAAAATGCAAAAAGAAAAGGCATTCAGCCCATTGACCATGACTGCAGGTAAAAAGTTGATAAGTATCAAATGTATAATATATAAAAATAAATATGTAGAGTAAAAAAAAATCAATAGTGATTGAAGGTCACTGCAAAATATTTACATCCACTGAATATTTTCTCCTTTATTTCTTAAGAAACCCCATTGCGTTCATCACTGCATAAACTACAATAGGCATGTCGCCGGTACAGATTTCTTAATCAGTGGCTGTTCCATCAATGAAACGTATAAAGACCTTCGCATCATTAATACAATAATTAATCTTTTTAATCCTACTTTAATTGATTATTTAAACAGATATAAATATAAAAAATAAATGTCTTCCTTTGTTTGTTATTACTGGACTGAACAGTGGCAGCTATTGCAGAAAAAATTTACATAACCCGCTTACGCGGGTTATGTATTTTTTCTGCAACAGCTGCTTCCGTTCATTCCAGTAATAACAAACAAAGAAAGTATTTTATTGTTTAATTAATACAGTGTATAATATTTATATTTTTTACATGTTTATTTTTATATTTTAATTTCCAGGAAGAATTGGGATGGCTCAGCCAAAGCTATGGAGTCTGACATGATTGTGGGGATGTTGAAAGACTTAGAAAAAGATCATATCCATCCACATGAATTAGTAATGGATGATGACAGTACGACAATTTCACGTGCAAGGAAAGAGTGTGAGCAAAGTATTACAAAATTCAGTGACAGAAATCACCTAAAGAAAACATTTTCAAACAAACTGTATGATTTGCAAAGATTCAAAAAGTATCAACAACTTAGAGAAAAACTATGACACACCTAAAGAAATGCTTTTCTTATGTTCTTGCCCAGAACCAGAAAAAACCTGAAGAGTTGAAAAAATCCTTATTGTGTATTATTCCTCATATGTATGGAGACCATCTGGCATGCCCTTCATGGTGTAAATATAAATGGAATCCAGCAAGTTACCTTCCACGGAATCTTCCATACAGCAGGTATCTAACATGTCCAGAGTTGAAAAAGGACTTGGAAGCCATTATTCAGACGTATGCACAACAAGCTGATAAACTATCTGATCTTGGATCGACACAAGCATGTGAAAGTTTTAATCACATCGTTGCATCAAAAAATCCAAAGAGCCTCTTTCTGTCAGGATCAGAAAGTACAAGTTTCAGAATCGCTGCAGCTGTTGCACAGAAAAACATTGGAAAGTCTTATATACAAGAAGTAAGTATATTTGAATAATCGAAAAAATTATGCAATATAAAATAATCATATACATGTATTCTCATTTCATGTAAATGAGTAATGATTATGTTTACATGTATATTTACAGGTCAATGATGAACTGAATATGTCTCCTGGAGCCTATACAGAAAAGGCGGTTGAAAAGATGGACAGAAAAAGAAAGTTACAGAAGATAAGACAGAGTAGTGCAGAGTACAAGAAAAGGAGATGCCAAATTAGGAAATCCTCAAGTCAAGATCAGGGTTGTAAAGAAGTGCGTGAAGGAAAAACATATGAAATGTCGGTTGGACTAGAGAAAATGGATGAGGAGCAGGACATCAATTCCATTCCAAGTGCCACTGTTGAACCAGAGAGAATACCACTAAGAAATACTGATAGCACATTTGTTTACTTTGACCTAGAAACAACAGGTTTAGGTAAAGTTTTATATATAGATATATATACACATGTATTTCCATGAGACATTGATATATGTATATATACATTTTTTTTTCTAGAGATACATTGTCTCAGATTTGTCTTATAGGTTCATCAGCAGAAATATTGGAAATAGGAGCTGCAAGAGGACAGGATATATTTCAAAAATACATAAAACCCAATGGTACAATATCTGCAAATGCAACTTGTGTGACTGGTCTCCATATGAAAAACCATGAACTTTACTACAGGGATCAAAAACTTGCAACATTGAACAGACTTGAAATCAGCACTCCAAAAGTTTTCAGAGTGGCTATCGGACTCGAATTCTAACATTCTTGTGAGCCACAATGGATTACGGTTTGACTTTCCATTATTTATTCAAAACATTATGTCACAAAATATTGTGATGAATACATGTATTGCCGGCTTTATCGACACTTTGGAGGTTTTTAAAAATTCTGATTTAAAGACACAAACTGGCAGTTTTTCTCAGGAGTCTCTTATGAGAGATGCAGGAATCCAGTCAACAGGGGTTTCTCATTGTGCTCTAACTGATGCTATGGACCTACAAAATTTAGTGAACTTTCATAACATTCCTTTCAACACTCTGTTGAGTCAAAGTGTCATGTACGATTATGTTTTACAGCATCTAAAGTTTTCTTCAGTAAAGAATGACAATTTGAAATCTCTTGACGTCTTAGTCCATGGAAAAGTGATTACAGAATTTATGGCAAATAAAATTGCAAAATCTGGTTTGAATATGAATTATATTAAACTAGCACACACAAGAAATGGTGAAGATGGAGTAAAAAACTTGTTTCAAGAAATTGTAAATGGTAAAGCAAGAGTTACAAAGTGTAAAAAAATAATGAACTCGGTGTCCAATTATTTGTCAAGTCAGTTGTAAAGAGTTACTTCCCTTTGTTTTTATAATTGTAAAGTTATGTTATTTTATTTTTTATCTCTCTTATAAACCTGGCTCCACTATGTAAGATATGATTTTTTGTACACCAAATGGCAAAACCTTTATTTAAATTTGTAGAAAAATTCAGAAATTCCATATATACAAAAAATATCTGTGATTATCCTGACATTTTTTGTAATCTTTTGTATAAAATGTCAAAATATTTCTGAACTGTTGAGGTCATTCTATGTATTTAATTTTTTTTGTATGTTAGTTTATGTAACAATGATGTAGGACTTCGAGAAATTTTGGAGAAAATTATTTATGTAAAAAATAAACATTTTTTCACTTTCCTACATATTCCCTTATTTCTATCATTTTTATTTCATTAAAAAAGGTGGCATCCTTGTATGAAAATATTTTTAAAAAATCATTAATGAACTCAGTTATAAAATATATTTCTATAAAGTCCTAAATTATCCTGATTGTCAGTGTTTAGAGCTCCCTTAAGCAGAAGACAGTTTAAAATGTTCACAGTTCACTTTATGCACAAAATGGCCTGTCTTTAAATCAATTAATAAACTATCACCCTCTTTCCCATTTCATATATCAGAATAAGTATGTGCTTTCAATTCCTATATTAAAATTTCTATTTGAGAATCTATGTATTGGAAAAGAAAATTTGAGAAAATGTAATGTTCTTGAATTTGCAGAAAACATGTGTATTTGACTACCTTCAACAAAAAACTAAAATATGAGCACAGCCCACGATCCAAAAATGCTTTTTAAACTTCAGAAATAGATCTCTCATTATGTAATTGCATACCGGTATTTTTGATCAGAGGTTGTGCCTATATGAAATATTAAAAAAATTGCTTCAACTTTAGGCCATTTTCAAACGAATTTAATTACAGGATATGGGAAAATGACATATTTTGTGACGTCATATGCATTAACTAGAGGGGAAATTACGTCATGTTCAATAGATACATGGCCAAAGACAGTCTAAGTGCTAAATACTTCATTTTCAACCTAAACTGAACAGTTATGATTTTCAGAAATTGTCAGGGCCAAAAAAGGCCCTAAGTGGCTCTTGCTCTTTTAGTTTTGGTAGAGGCCACCCAGGAGCCAATTCAAGCTTTCCTAGTTCTGCACTAGAAACTTATCTGAAGGTTCTGCTTGGTTTAATAGAAGCCTCATTGCCTTTGAGTGGTCTTTTATTTGCCTTCCTATCTATATTGGAATGAATAATAAGAATCTTTGCTAACAAGAATATTAGAAGTGAGTTATATGATATTCCTGTTAACATTTTGTGTATTGTAACGTCTTGTTGTATTTGGTGTATGGGTTACCAATGTGCTATGAAACCGATTACCAATTTAAGTTGTAAAATATTTAAATGATATAAAATAAAGAAATGATTGTAAAATACTTGTACACATTTAGATTGTAAATAATAATCAGAAAATTTAACTGAAAAAAAAAATCTCGGTCAGCATTCGCCCCAGTGGTGGATTTATTTGTTTACAAAGCCATTGCATCAACCATAGAACTTGCACAATGTGACTTTCAACGAGACTGATGATATTCCTGTTTCATTAATTTGTTTTCAGTGTCTTATCTTGTAAGATCTTATTTTAGAAAGTATTACTTTATATCCTTTTTATGCTGTTTTTTTTTATCCCAGTTGATTCAAAATTCAATAGCTTTACGAACAGATTTTGAAACGAGGTAAACTAAAAAAGTTAGTAAAACAAGGATACCAGTCCGTTTGAGTTAACATTTAGCAATACCTAAAATGGAAACAATGTTTTTGTCAAGAAATGCAATCTAATCCAATTTAGTCGAAAGTTTACTGATTTTATTCATACATGTGATGCTTCATTACTCCTCCATGGTACCTGATTTCAACTCTGCGGTCTCTGCTAGCTCTGCTTCCGATCCTATTTATTTCAATGCATGGACTTTCGAGCTTGATTTCTGTTCTTTATATATTTCATACATCAAATGGAATTGAATATACATCACAAGAACATCGAGCATACATTTAGGTCTACACCATACACAAGATTATCGAATTCATCAAACACCTTTATCGATTCTTAGAAAAAAATTATTATAATCTCCGCTTGAAAAGCAGGGTGATAGGGGGTCCAACCGTCCGACAGTTTGTCTGTTACGATTTAAGTACCCATCTCTTTTAACA